TGACTGCATCTGTAGCATAATGCTTGAGAGAAGCAAACGCTGATCAGTCCGATGCCTCTGAAACAGGGCATGAGTACGTAATGTGTTAGTAGGAATGGGCACTAATAGCAAACACGCGGGGGTAGCTGTGTAGTGGTGGCTGCTGCTTGACGCCTTCCTAACTCATGAAGCCACAGGCGAGGTCAGTCAGAGCATAGGACCTCGCGCGAAGGCTTTTTTCGGCGTGATTTGGGCCAGACGCACTGAGGCGCCACCTACTAACACGCCCACGCCGGTGCGTAACCTCGCGCGGTCCAACTAATGACCTTCAAGGCCGCATAAGACAAACAGTGGCCACTCGAATGTCTGCCCCCAGACATCACTCCGGAACTTGCCCGCCTTGCGGCTTGACGTCAAAACTTCCTCCTAACTATCATATTTTCCGTCTGTAAAAATACACTCTTCCTATCACTCTGGCCTTCCCATGGCTTCTGTCTCCTCCTAAGGAACCGGGCCTGGAAGATCGCAGACGTGAGGATTAACCTCCTTAGCCTTAACACCACCTGATAGCTGTGTTGACGTACGCGGGCGCAGGCTCACCCCGTGCCAGCCACCTGCGCCTGGCCTCGCATCGGGTCTTCACAGAGGATCTCATGCACAATGAAGCCGTTGTAGGGAAGTCGACACTTTGAGTATTCATCAGAATTTGTCAGGTGTTACCTGGGATCTTATATATATTATGAGCCAATAGGTTTTCTGTTTTCCTGAGAAATAGATGTGGAAACATTACACCACAAACTTCAACGGTAACATTCTGCAGTTCGTTCACAAATATTATATGAACAGTTGAGCAAACACCCCTTAACTACAATGTAATTGATGCGCAACAATCACAGTCATATAAAGAACGTAAGCAATACACCAGTATATATTGGTTGGCTACAGAAATGAGTTTCAGGAAAGAACTGCGAGCTGTTCAATTCTTCGTGGTTTTACCAGATTTCTCCACGGGATATCTGATGTCTAGTATACGTTAATTGCGTGCGTTCCGTGCTCATATTAGCAACTCAGGTGTGGACTTGCAGTGCAAGCCTCCGCACACGCCTCCTAGGGCTTGATCAGAAAACTGAGGCGGATATCTCA